TTTATTTTTTTATTTTTTTATTTTAATTTTAATTGGGGGGGTCCTAGGGCCCCCAGGACCTCCCCCCCCCTGGCTACGCGCTTGTGGTGGTGGTGTTGTTGCAATTAGTATCCGGACATTTCGCCTTCATATGCCGTGATCTCAGAATCAGTAAACACCTTTCAGTATCTTTTTCCTGCTTGAATTTTGACGCATTAACAACTCGGCGTTATCCTCTATAATGCCTGTAACTATTATTACGAACCACGCATACATTCTGTAATGCCCGTATCGGCACAAGCGACTCGATCTGGTAATGCGATAGCTAAGCAGAAGTGAGAGCTAACCCCGAGACACCGACTGTCCTCGCGATGTCCATCTTTTGTGCTCTGGCCGTAATCTCGTATTCCTGCCATTATTTGGAGCGCTTGTGCAGGCAGGAGGTGGCTCTATTGTTGTGTCCGGTCATGGCAACCCTCCCATGTTGGCACGGTTGTGTATGGCTGCGACAGTACGCTGCGCTTGCCGCATCGCTAGTCCCGTCGTCTGTCTTCCGTGCACGGGTCGGTATGCGCAAGCTGCGCTATAAAAGCCAAGGCCCGCTGGTTCAGGCCACAGTTCAAGTTCGGTCGGCAGCAGGATTAGTTTGGCTACATATACAACGAGTGTACAAGATATAGCACAGGTAAGTACGTCGATTGGTGATGATGTGTTGTGCAAATGGACATAGCGTCATACGCGGACCAAGTCTAAAGAAGCGAGTGTTCCGCTAGAATCAGAGACGGGCTATATCTACGGAAAATCAAGACGTACGCGTGCTCTGCGCTTCTAGTTTACAGAGAACACTGCGAGCTCAGTTGGAGAGGCAGCAGGGTTTGATATAGGACTGCATTGTATCTTAGGCAGCTCATCGAAACGTTAACGATTTTCAGCAGTTCAGTTTTTCATATCTATACCCACAATTATCATCGGTATGACATTTGTTAGAATATACGCTTGTGAAAACCGACATAGTTTCCTATACGATTTATAAAAAAGATCTAGTAAAATCGTGTTTATCTAAACGCATCATAACGTCGTCGACTGTCAGCCTCTTCTAGGTTAAGCAAATACGTCGGCATGGCTGCGGTTAGCACGTGTGTCAGCGCGCTGGTGCACGCTATGGTACGTGCACGCGCAGCAGCTATTGCTTTTGTTGCCGATAGCGCGCTACCGGTCTTCCGGGTTCATAACAGCCGGCCGCTGCGTTGAAAACATTGCTCCGGCGTGATAAGTAGATATCGGCGGTATGAGTCGAATTCGAATTGCAACTGTACGTGTGCACGGGTTAGCATAGCGATGCGTTACACTAGCTCGATCTGCGATTGACTTACTGTTGTAGTAGTCGATGTTCGTTGATTTTTTTTTTAGTCAGTTGTTGAATTTCACTGTCCGCTGCAAGCGGTATACTATTGAGCGCAGCGGCATTACACTGCATTCGAAACTACAATGTATTGTTATTTTTATTACAGTGTTACATTCCGTGAAGAGCGAGATGACGAAGATTTTGGCAGCCCTGGTGCTGTGCTCGGTAAGTGATCAATCTTTCCGTTTTAAACTGGACACAACGTCGAATTATAATAATTGAGCATGCAATGCCACGTGTCCGGTATCATTGGCATGCGAGTGTATTTTGGTTTCGTTAATTTATTTGTTACCTAAATGCTTTTCTAAACTTCTGCTCTGAGATTGCGCAGAGCAATAAATTGAGTGAATTAAATAAATGGCTTATCAAATGATTAGGTAAATATCAAGATCACATAAGTCACCTAACCATTCATAGATTTCGTTGAATAGTCTTTACTTACCAACGGCACTTCTTGGCTACTGCAGATAGCGGCCCTAGCACACAGTGAGGGTTACGGATATAAACCGTCATATTACTACGGCTTCCTCCACAAACACACAACGACGACGCACTCGCCATACGTCTACTTCAAAAGACACACCATCCCTTACGAAGACCTGTACGAATCAACCTACACTGACCATTACGTCTTCCATACCCCTAGTCCTTGTTACGGCTACCACTGCGATGGAGGATATGGTGGCGGTGGCGGTGACTATGGTGGTGACTATGGGGGTGGCGTAGGAGTTGGAGGTGGATATTCTAGCGGCGGTAGCGGTGGCGGAGGTGGATATTCTAGCGGCGGTAGCGGTGGCGGAGGAGGCTACGGCAATGACATCAGCGGTGGCTACGGTAGCCAGAAAGGCTACGAGGCCAGATTGGCCAACACTGGTAGTAGCAACGATGGTTACGCAGACTATGGTAAAAACAGCGGCGGCTATGGCAACACCAACAACAACGACGGCGGCTATGGCACCACCAACAACAACAACAACAACAACGACTATGGCAGCAACAACAACAACAACAACAAAGGATATGGTGATAACGGCAAGAGCGAGGCCTATGCTGACTACGGTCCCAGCGGAGGTCACGGCGGTGACAACAACAACAACAACCAGGGAGGCTATGGCAGCAAAGACAATGGCGGCTATGGCGACAACAATAACGGCGGCTATGGCAGCAGCGACAATAGCGGCTATGGCGGCAACAAAGATGGCGGCTATGGCGGCATATATATATATGACCATTATACGTATTCCGGTAATAGATATATGGGATATCATAAGCTCTTAAGCCGTCAGGTGTGCATTGAGTTCGAGGTTAAGGTTTTCGGTGACCTTACAATCACGGCTGCCGTATTGTGAATTTTAGTAGGTTGACCTCATTCATTTGTCGAAAACTTTTATTATCAGGCAATATTATATATATATATCGATTATAATCTGTTGAATTGTTAAACTCAAATTAACCAAAGCGGTATAAAAGAAAAGAAAAAGTGGGAAGCTTAAAATGTAGGTAAAGAAACAATACTTGGATATGAGAATGTAAAATGGAGTTGAATTATATGCCTATTAGAGCCTAAGTGTGTACGCGGTACACATCCTAGATACTTATGCCGCAGAAATCTGCTCCCTACGAATCCCCAGGAACTTCGCTGGCATTACCAAATCTGTACCCGGTTCAGTGATGATCCGCAAGAATGTCATATTACAAAATTTATATCACGTATATTATTATGTTATTGTGCCTTTGTTCGATCGTAAATGAAGGTTATATAGCAACTTTGAACCCTTGAAATATTATTATTACTATGCGACCTGTCCCTAAAAAACAACGGACATGTGTACCTTTCCTTTGAATTACCTATAATTAATATTAAGAATTAAGTAAATAATGAACCGTAAAGCAAAAAGCTCACACCGCAAATTACAAGCAAGACGCGTCACATGAGTGTTTTCACATTATCATATTTTCGCTATACTGTTTAAACAGAGTGAAATGAGTTGAAAAAATTCTTTACAACCCACATACTACTTCGCTTTCTAAATGATTGTCGAGTCAGAATACGGTGGCAATAGACACTTACCACATTATCGCAATCTGTACCCACGTAATACATGCATGTTCTCATAACAAGAGAGCGTTGTTATTAATCACGATGATAACTGAATACCAGTTTTTGTTACGTAACGCGTTTGTAGTATACATGAATCAAGTTCCCTTTCCGTGTGAGCTAATAATCCTCCTTGCACTCGACACGATGACATTTTTGTGGTGTACTTTTAATTACAAGTCATTTTGTGTCAAATATAATTAGTACATCGCAGAAATAATAACACGTGTATTTATTAAACAGTTACAAATGTAATTATTGTTGTAATAATGATATTATTATTATTATCATCATCATTATTATCATCATCATCATCATCACTAGGGTAGTAGTATTGCAAATGCTGTAGTAGGATCCACATGCTGTCGTGATGATATACCACAGATTTTAACAACAGATACATTGGGAAACTGAGGTACTGCAAGTGTTCTAACTAATAATAACATAAAAACATGAAATGTTTGACTGGAAATTAGAAAATCATTACGTTGAATAATTTTTAGTAGCAAAATCCACATTTTCCACAAGTGAATAAAGCTATAAATTAAGTGAATATGTGTTAGATTGTAAATAGCAACAAAATCCCAATACTCAAAATAGATTTTCAGTGAAGATGCACTAAAAGTATATACTACCCCATGGCGCTCTCCTTAGCCAAAAAGCTTAGACAGCTAAGAAATTATTTTGGGGGCTAACATATAGTTTTCTACAAAAATTTACACAATAGAAGAAAAGGTAACATTAAACAATACTAGGAAAAGATTTTAACTCTAGGTAGCAGGTATCCACATGGGGAATAGTAGCATATATCCACATATTGAAATTCTAGATTTTAGAGCATATTTAGTTGAATAAAATATAAATACTGTTATTTCATTTAGAGAAACATCAGGTGCGATTCGCACACTTAAATTTTTATAAATAGTGACCTATTGCTTTATTTGTCCAATGTAAAGTTTTCCCACCAAAAGTAATGATCATCTATTTATACATATAGTAGCAAATATCCACAAGTTATTTATCATAAATGTGGATATTTATTACTGATGTTCTTTGGTTCTGGTTTTCGTTTTAATTTAGGTGCTCGCTCTCGCACTCTCTCTCTCTCTTTCTCTCTCTCTCTCTCTCTCTCTCTCTCTCTCTCTCTTTCTCTCTCTCTTTCTCGCTC